CACATAGAACAGGTTACCACTATAGTAAATTTCATGTGGATCTCAAACCCATCTCTCTCGATGCACTTTATATCACATTGCGTGACAGACCCTTAGTGAATTGATCTGCCAGATTGTTAGATGTGTGAACATAGTCCAACGCTATTACTCCGAAGTTTCTCAATTTTCTGACAGATTTTAGTCGTCTCTTAACATGCCTTGTAGACTTCATGTTATCCTTAGAACTGTTAACCTTCGTAATCACAGTCTGGTTATCGTAGTTCATAGAAATAGTCGGTATGGGTTTTTCAACAACCGGTAAATCCATAAGGAGATCACAAAGCCACTCGGCCTCAGAGCCAGCGGTGTCTAATGCTGTGAGTTCTGCTTTCATTATAGACTTCGTTAAGATAGTCTGCTTACAAGACTTCTAGGAAACAGCACCACCTCCAAGCGAAAACACATATCCACTTGTGGCATAAAGCTCATCAACATCAGAGATCCAGTTGGCATCATAATAGCCTTTCAGCACCTTCGGATGTCCGGTATAACGAATACCATAGCTCATAGTTCCTTTTAAATAGCGCATCACTCTCTCAAGAGCACGCCAGTGATCATCTCTCGGGTTTGACACAAACCGGCTCAGCTTGCACATAGCAAATGAGATGTCAGCCCTTATTGCACTAGCAAGATACATGAGCGAACCAATGATCTGGGAATATCTCAACTGATCTCTTGCTATTCTCTAATTTTTCCTCAATAGCACACTCGGGTCATAAGGTGAAGGAGCAGGTTCACAGTCACTACACCTAAAGCGACTCAGCACCTTTTCCACATAGTGGGATTGTAACAGAGTTACCCCACCATCACCTTCTCTCAGAAGCTTGATATTAAGAATAACATCAGTCTCTCCCAAATCTTTTATTTCAAAATTATTAGATAAAAAATCCTTCACCTCCTCAATCACTTTGAGGCTAGATCCAAAGATCAGTATGTCATCAACATATAAGCACAAAATAACTCCTTCACCCCCACCATACCGATAGTACACATATTTGTTAGCTTTATTCACAACAAAGCCAACAGATGTTAGAGTTCTGTCGAACTTCTCATGCCACTGCTTAGGAGCTTGTTTTAGGCCATATAAGGACTTTAATAATTTACACACCTTGCCTTCTTGACCATTTGCTACAAACCCATCTGGCTGATCCATATAGATCTCCTCCTCAAACTCTCCATTTAGAAAAGCTATCTTAACGTCTATTTGATGAACGATAAGACCATAGGAGGCTGCCAGGGAAAGCAAAACTCGAATTGTAGTCAATCGGGCAACCGGTGAATAAGTATCAAAGAAATCCTCACCTTTCTTTTGAGTATAACCCTTGGACACAAGTCTTGCCTTGTACCTCTTGATAGTACCATCAGGCCTAAGCTTTTTCCCGAACACCCATTTGCACCCTATAGGCTTGCACCCATAGCGATGATCAACTATTTTCCAAGTTCTATTAGACATAATAGAATCCATCTCACTCCGTACTGCTTCCTTCCACAAGTCAGCATCAGGAGAGGAATATGCCTCTTCAATGGTCGTTGATGTGTCATCCACAAGGTACACAATATAGTCATCACCAAAAGACTTTACAGTCCTCTATCTCTTACTTTTTATAGTGACTATAGTGTCATCCTCAGGATTTTACATATAGGGTTCCTCAATTTGTTCTATCAGAGTAAAATTTTCATACTCATGGGAAATTATAAATTCATGACTAGTTGTGCTAGGTGCATTTTTCATGGAAAATTCATTCTAAAAAAATGTAGCGTCTCTAGATTCCATGATTGTATCAACAACCATCTCAGAAACACTAGAATTTATAATTAAAAATCTATAACCCACGCTGTGAATAGCATAACCAAGAAAAACACAATCAACAGTCTTTGGTCCAAGCTTTCGTTTTTTGTTTATTGGCACATTCACCTTTGCCAAACAACCCCAAGTTCGCAGGTAAGAGAGATTTAATCTCTTCTTCTCTCATTCCTCGAATGGTGTAATTTGTTTGTTCTTTGTGGGCACCCTATTTAGTACATGACACGCTGTCAATATAGCCTCACCCCACCATTCCTTAAATAGTCCCGCAGTCTCTAACATGGCATTAACCAAATAAGTTAGAGTGCGGTTCTTTCTCTCTGCAATCCATTTGGACTGTGGTGAGTATGGTGGCGTCCTCTCATGAAAATTCATTTGAGAAATATTCATTTGAGAAACTCAGAAAATTCATTTGAGAAATATTCTCCCCCGCGATCGGACCGCAAACGCTTGATTTTCTTCTCAAGTTGATTTTCTACCTCAGCTTTATAGACTTTAAAATAATGCAACGCTTCATCTTTAGTTTTTAATAAATACACGTAGCAAAATCTAGTACAATCATTTATAAATGTCGTGAAGTATCGTTTACCACCTTTAGTCAATTCGCCATTCATTTCGTATAAATCAGAATGAACGAGTTTTAATGGTGCCAAGTTCCTCGCCTCAGCAGCCTTGTGAGGCTTGCGTGGTTGCTTCGATTGCACACACACCTGGCACTTAGAATATTTGACTAAGTTAAATTTCAGGATTAAATTCAGATTTGCAAGCCGCGTGAGAAAGCCAAAATTAATGTGACAAAGTCGTGAATGCCATATATTCGACTCATCCGAAATATTAACATTGTTCACTACCTTATTACACACATCATCAACCAAAGATAAGCGGAACAAGCCTCCGCAATCATAACCTTTTTCAACAAATGTTCCATGTCTCGACACAACACACTTATTAGACTCAAGCACAATTTTAAAGCCATCGCGACACATTTGAGAACCGCTAACAAGATTCTTCTTGATGGAGGGGACATGCTGCACGTTCTTTAATAGCACCGTTTTTTCTGAAGTAAACTTCAGAACGACCGTATCAGCACCAAGAACATGCGCATGCGAACCATTTCCCATCAGCAAGGCTCCAGTCCTGCCGGCCTGATAGGAAGTAAACAAAGAAACATCAATACACACATGAATATTAGCACCGCTATCCATCCATCACTCAAGTTAAAGACAAACTGAAAGAACAAAAGGTAAAGAATTACCATACCCAGATGTTCCTCCTTCAGTCTCTCTAATCACCACGTTTACTGGTTTCTTTTCTTACTTATATTTGCGGTCTGGGCATGCACTTGCCCAATGCTCATCACTCCCACAAACAAAGCAATCTCCACCTTTCTTATTGTTTTTCTTCTTAAACTGAACAGTTTGCTTAGGTTTTGTATTGTTGTTCTCTTGCATGTTCTTCTTCTTTTTATTACGGGATGTAAATGAATTTTTCTTCTACACCATTTTGACAGCGGAAGACTCAACTCCTTTTCCACGGTTGTCTTTTGCTCTCGCCCACTCCTCTACATCAAGAGATCCAATAAGTTCAGCCATGCTAAACTCTTGTCTCCTGTGTTTTAGAGAAGTAGCAAAATCTCTCCAAGAAGGTGGCAGCTTAGCGATTATACCGCCGACCACAAACTTATCGGGCAATAGACATGGAAAATGCTCTAGTTCCTTTGCTAGCGCCTGTATCTCATGAGCCTATTCCACTACAGAACGGTTTTCAACCATTTTATAGTCATGTAGCTTCTCCATAAGGTACAACTCACTACCAGCATAAGAAACTCCAAACTTTGCCTCAAGAACACCCCATAACTCTTTGCCTGATGTGTAAGATATATAGTTTTTCTAATACTTAGGATGAAGTGCACTAATCACGGCGTCTCGAAACAGGTTATCGGCAGTCAAGAACTTTTGCTCCTCTTCTAGAGTAAATTGTTCAGGCTTCCTCTGTGCGGCGTGATAGCAATTCATAGCAGTCAACCACAACACCATCTTGACACGCCATATCATAAAATTCTTGCCATCAAAATTATTTGGCTTCAAAACAGTAGCAAAATCACTAACAGAAAATTGCCTAACATTAGGTTTTTGGATTGTTAGATAAATAGGCATTTTTATGATCAATTTAATCCAGAAATAAAACATCAGCAGATTTGTGACGACATATATGTGCATGTATAAATCACTAACAAACACTACAGCATTCAAGTATGACATACAGATCGATACAGTAAGAACGCAAAGTACTGTAATCACAGAGATAAGAGTGTACCCAGCGGAGTGTCCCATGCCGAGGGCATTGGAGGCTCCATTCGCACTAGTCGATATACTGCGTTGTTCGAAGTCGTGGACCACAGTTGATGCAGGAAGGTGTTCGCATTGCAGTCCCACGAACGGTCACCAGGAAGAAGACGGGTTCCACGATCGATCACCAGAAAGAAGACAGGTTCCGCGAGCGATCACCAGGAAGAAGACGTCGGACGAGCAGTCGCGGAATCGCTCCCCAAAAACCTAATCGCGGCACACCCCGTGCAAGGTTCGCAGGCGGACGAGGGTTCCGGAGGCACCTGCTCTCCCGCTACTCCGTATGCGCAGAGGTACGGGATGGGGAAACCTAAAGGGCGGCTGAGATGTGGTCTCTTGGAAGTGGAGCGAAAGAAGTGGACTGACTGAGGACTTTAGATTTATGGCTGCGACAGGGAGAGAGAAATGCAGCGGAGGAACTCAGGAGACGGAGGCACGAAGAGACGGTAAATCGCGCAATCAGTTCACCTCCACCGTAAAGGAGAGAAACTCCTGTGATTATGTAGATTAAGTGGCAAAACTTGGCCACGCCCGCCCGCCATGCCCACGCCCATGGCCCGACCGGCGGCGGCGCGCGCGCGTGTGGCACTCCTTTGTCATTTTCTCAGATTCTCAATTAAGATAGATAATTTCCAACCAAATAAACTAAGTAAACGTTCAGTAAAAATCTCATATATTATTAAACCATACAACACTTAATGTTACGTAACATAGAGTTTTATTAAATTTATTAAATATTATATGGGCCAAGCCCATAGTATATCAACAGCGTCGAAGCGGAAGCTGAAGAGCTCCTTCCCCGTGCTGACCTCCCAGAGCTTGGCGGTCTGGTCGGCGGATGCGGTGATGAGGCGTGCCGAGTCGCGGGAGACATCGCAGGTGCAGACGGCGCCGTTGTGGCCTCGGTAGGTGCCGAGGCGGTCGCCATTGTCGGCGTACCAGACCGTGGGGGTGTGGTCCTTGGCGCAGGAGAAGAGGAGGTCCCCGTCGCGGTTGTAGCGCAGGAACGTCAGCGGGCGCTCGTGGCCCTTCATCAGGATCGGCCTCATCGTGGCGCGCTGCTGCTGGTGGTGCTCACCACCGCCGGAAAGGGAGGAGGAGCAGGGTCGGATCTGGTGGTGGTGGTGCTCACCGCTGCTGGTAATCGGCGAAGGCCTCGGCACCTGGTGAAGTGGTGACTGGCGTAGGCGCGTAGCTGTACGGCGATGGCGGCGGTAGCCCAGAGAGAGGCAGAGCACGGCGGCTGGCACAGGGAGGAGAGGCAGAGACAGCTGGGCCTTTAACGGGCCTTCTCCTTCCAAGCTGAAACGTGCCTGTGCGGCTGTGCCTTAGGATGCAAGCGGGCTTATCCGTCTGCTGCCACTAGAAAATTTGCACTGACTTGGCCCATTAAAGGAGGAAGAAGGAGAGGGGAGAGAGAAGCGTCGGCTGTCCATTCCAAGAGGGGGTGCGGGCCGAGCCCGTGGGGAGGAAGAGGAGTGAGCAGTTGGGCCGCAAGCTGGACAAGGAGGGTACGTTACCTTCTCTCTCAAAAAAAAAAACTAGGCACGTTAAAAGTTTAATTAGGTCCAAGCTCTGATAGGAGAGGGAGAGAGGATCTGACATTTGTTTGAAGCTATTGTATTCAAATTCAAACTTAATAAAAGCCTAGTTTGATTGAATTTGATTAAAAAGATCATAGGAATTTTACCAAATATATTTGGTGCGAAGAATAATTGGATAACTAATTTTTTAGTCTTATTTCTTTGTCGCCTTTGTTATAATATATATGCACAAGGATATTTTAAATGCATCAACATGCGAGAAAAAATCATTAAAAATCAGGAGGCATTTCCATAAGAGAGGACATTTTCATATATGTGATTTATTTTGCATTGTTACACATATGACATAGAAAAAAATGTGCCAAATATTAATCCATTACTATTACTAATCATCTAACTACCGTGTAGTGATAATTCTATATTTGCTATAACAATTAAACAATTATGACAAACAAAGTCACCATAGTTATAAAATGAAGTAGGTTATGATGATTTCGGATCGTGATCAATAACAAGCGATACATTTTCATCAATAAGCTGAACCACCTCTTGGAAAACATCACAAACAGAGTGATTCAGTGACAAATAGCTTGCATAGGAGCCCTAATTTCTTGTAGACTATGCTACTGTGAAGACCGGATGGTCCATCAGTCAGGTTTCAGATCATTAAAAAAATTAGTATCTTTTTTATATAAATTTGATCAAATTTCAAATCATTTGATTTAATATTACTATAGGGTTTGCATATTTTTGAGACGGAGAGAGAGTAGTGGCGTAAACCATAATCCTCGCCTAATAATTCCTCTGTGGGTTTGTGTTCATGTTTGCCAGGGAGAATTGTAGCGACAGGCAGACAGTACATGTTTACGACGTCGTTCTGGCCAAGACAGCACAAGAAACACGCCGATCAAAATTTATAGTTCGGCTTACTTTATAATCCGCACTATTGAACTTGTTTTTTCAGCCGGAACAATATTTTTTTCTCATAACAATTCAGTCAGAACAGTGTTTTCAGTCAATTCAGCCAAGTTTCAGTAAGCCGAACGGGGTCTAACATGTACCAGATTTGTAAACGCCCGATCGAGATTGCAGCGCACGTTTCTCGATTTTTTTTTTTGTAAACGATCATAGCAATCGAGAAGTACCAGATTTAATCCACTCTTTTTTTTTGCGATTGATTTAATCCACTCGTTGTTCACAAGTAATACAGAATTTTAGATGGACACGTAATATAGATAGCAGAGAATGGTCAAAATGTAGCAAAATATTCAAGAGCGACGACCTACAGATGTTGCTATCTTAGATTCTTGACCAACACACAAGAAGCTTCTACCAGGCAAAATCACTGCGATTGGCCATTGTTATACACAAGGCGTTGGCAGGACGCTGTCAAGTCAAGCCAAGCCGCCACCGGCCTCCGGCCTCCGGCCTCCGGCCGCGTCGTCCACGGTGCCCTCTCAGCCTCTCGAGCCTCGCGGCGTGGACGACGAGGCACGCTCCTCGTCGCCGAACATATCGACTGCCGCGACGCGCGCCGGCGTGGAAGCTGCGGCGGCCCTGTCCTCGGCCCGTGCCGGCGCCGGCGGCTCGGCCTTGCCGCGGCAGACCGGGCACGACGCGCGCGACGCGAGCCACACGTCGATGCACTCCTGGTGGAACACGTGCTTGCAGCCGGGGAGCTGCCTCACCATCTGCCCCTCGTCCAGGACGCCGAGGCAGACCGCGCACTCAGCAGCGGCGGCCGGCACTGAGGTCGAGCCCTCAGCCTCGGCGTCGGCTTGCCGCCGGTACGGGAAGGGCGGGATCAGGGCGACGGCCGCGGCGTCGAGGCCGGGCTTTGACCGATGATGCTGCTCCTGCAGGAGCCTTCTCGCTCGGTGGTGCCAGCGCTGGCGAAGCAGGAGGAAGCGCACGAAGAGGAAGGCGACGACGAGGATGAAGCAGCAGACGAATGACGTGGCGGCTACGGCCACCAGCGTCGTCGCTTTGCAGCACCGGGTGCCGCCGCCGGCTCCCGGCGAGGCCGTGCCGTTGGAGGACATGGTCGCGGTGGTCACGGAGTATAGGAGGATTCGTAAGCCGCGAGCAAATTATTTGGCTATTTTAGCAAAGGTGGTTTAACCCCACCCCCCCTGTCTACTGAACAATCGGTTGTTTTATAGTTTTCTGGCACTCGGTTGTTGGAAGGCCAAAAAAAACACCCGAATTCTACAACTAAGCCAAACTGGGTGCTAAAGACAAAGAAAACACACGATTTACAGATCCTTATATCAGAATCCAATGGTCACAATAATCACAATCCAATTCTACAAATCTGAAGTATTAAATAGAAGAAAATGTATATCAAAATAGCTCATATGAACTATCTCACAATCAAATAAACAGAATTTACATCTCAAATGACCGAAATTTACAGTTACGCAGTCGGTATAAATTCAAAAACAAGCCAATGTAATTGCAAGCATATGGTACACTAATACAAAGGACTAAGATCTATTGCCATAATTGCACAGAGACTAGGATCGACAGAAAGAGCTCACCATTAAAATACAGAACAAACGACAAATTGTACAAAAAAAACTACATTTCCAAATGTTTTCTATGAATTCTAGAACTCTGAGAAAATTACTGCAAATTGATCACAAATATAACAAATTTTCACAACATCTTTTCTAAATAAATTCATATCAATAAAACGCACATTGGCACTAATATATAGAAGCAAAAAATTTGGACACACGAAATTATACCAGTTAATAAAATTGAGAACACTAAAATGATAAACTGATTTCTTCTATTGTCTCGCCTAGTAGATTTACGAGTCTAAGAACTAACTACATGATACACTACAAGGGTAAGATCACCCCAAACTACTCCAAAATGCCGCCTGAACTAAGACAGAACAACAACAGGCCAAACTTAAAAACGAAAATGATGCAACATGCACTTGCTCAGAGCACAATGCCTCTTACTAAGCAAATGGCTAAAGAGTAAGACCAGTTGCTCATACAAACCATATGAACATGAACTACTGGCCCACCTTAAAAACCCCAAATGCTTGAACTCACTAAGCTGAAAAGCGGGTAGAAGAGAACAGATAGAATTGCAATTTCTTCAAAGACCAAAAAACCGACAAGAGAAATCAGAGACAACCTACAACTAATGCCAAAGGTAAGTCATCAAACACGATAACTACTGCAGGGCATCAAGAATCTAACAACGGCGACAAGTACACCAACAAAAACAGCTAATCCTACAAAAAATGAAACTCCACATCAATACCAAATCCTGCTTCAACCCTAGACACAAAGATTGCAAAAAGCAAAAGGAAACAATGGGAGCAAACTGGCAAACTGATGGAATCACCTCTCAAGATTGCAAAGCGACACGGGCAAGAAAAGCGATGAGGAAATGTAATGACCACGTAAAAGCAAAGGACCGCCAATTTTAAACAGCAGAACTTTATATTTCCTTCCACGTTTCTTCCCCTTCTGCAGTGGCAAAGAACAAGACAGACAATACAAGTCATGGTGCCAAACACACTAAGAAAAATGAAAACATATTACAAATTACAAAACAATAATGAAAAATTGCGCATTTCAACTAGTGCAATTTCTAGTATTGAAAAATGCAATATCAGATCTTGTAAGTTTACTTGCAAAATCAGATCCTTCGGAAGTAAATAGGGCGGCATTTGTCCGTCTAATACAAACCTGATAGTAGCTGGCACCTGAAATTATCAACAAAACAGATCAAAACATTGTATTCTTTTTCTGGAGTTGACTCAAGCGTAACCACAGTATATGACAATGTGATAAGATCATGCACAAAACAGAAAAACTGAGACGATAGAGCTATTTTGCATAAATTCCACCGCAAACAGATCACATGATAAGCCCCATCTTACAATAGATGCATAAATAGTGATGAGAGGATAGAGCTACATTGTCCATTGACTAGGCTGCTTTGCTAGAGGCAGGGAGACAGAGAGAGACCGAGAGAGAGAGTGTGTGGGTGGGTGGGGAGGAAGAGAGCGACCGAGAGGTCCAAGTCCAGTCAACAAAGGGTGGACCGACCCACACACGAGAGAGAGAATATTTGAAGGAGGAGGAGCTGAGTTTGTGGGGGTCTGTGTTGCCACAAATCACAATTTTTCAACATCATATATATGGTTCATTGTTTAGAGAAATATGCATATAGAAAAGCCTCAACTAGAAAAGCCCACTGGTGCATAATCAAACACCATCTATATGTTCTATGGTGCCATTGAGGCCTATATCTCAAGGCGTACCATAGCACACAAGATGAGGAAAAACATATTAGGTTTTTCCTGTTATGCCCTAAAAATCTAGAAATGCTTCCTAAATTTTCTGATATATAGTAAGGTAAAATTGCATTCTATACTCAAATCAGCTTCATCTAGAACTACACCAGAGGCCCCAAACTATGTAAAAGATTGAGCATGGTATGGAGTTGTTCTATATCGTGTTCTTCAACACCTTGGC